CGTAATACTGAAGCGACCAATACAAAGACATATAGTGGAAAAAAACGGGACTGAAAAAAAGTGCCCGTAATAACGGGGTGGTCGTTAGGTGAGGTTTCACTGTAATTCTTTACCATCACCTTTTTTCTATAAATATGGCACAATGTTTAAATCCATATACAAACAGCACTGGATTAACAAATAGTGCCGTTTTACCAGATTTATGATTTATTTAGTATCAAACCTATAATATCTAATTTTAGCCTTGTAGTATGTTCACCATTGATGAGAACAGAATAAAATTACACAATTCACCTCTTCAATATCTACTAAGTCATCGTATGGCGGAGATAGCGAAAACTGGACTCTGGCCTGAACAAATCAGTATACAAATAAACGAAAATAAGTATACATTATAGAGTATTGTCATTAAGAATTTCGTCTCGTTAAGTTTACATTTTCACGTCCTAGATAACAATATAAATAAACGTCTTCCATTGACATACATACATGTGTGTTCATGTGACTTTGTGAGAGTTAACTCATGCCATTGATCCAACTGAAAATATCACTTGGTGAGTTAAATAAAAACATAAAACGGTCTTGTGCTGGTTACATACTGGTTATATAATCTCTATCACACGAAATATATATATATATATATATATATATATATATATATATATATAATTTATCTTCATAGGTTGAGGAAATTTATTACCAGCTTTCAAAGAAGAAAAGCACACTTACAATCACTTGAAAGTATTCTCGACCCCCATCGACTGTCAACTTATCTACTGAGAGAGTGAAACAAAGGGAAGTAACTCTGGGAGATCCGAATGATTGGGAGGTATCGCAACCAATATTGAATCTTCAATGCTGAATTCTGATATTAAACCAGTGACGTGTTTAAACATTAACAAGATAATATACAAACGGTTATAACATCAAATCATTGTGGTTACTTTTTTCATGGTTTTTACCTAAGATGTAATTTCAAAAGTAAAAAACAAAATATGTAGGCCTATAACATGTAACCAGGGACGTATATATTAGTGATATATACGTCCCTGATGTAACTGATATGTAGATATATGTCTGGAGTTGCTAAAACAAAGCTATACTGTGTTGTAGAACATTTGTTTTGTGTGTAAAACTGAGTTATATATTTATAAAAAAAAAAATAATGGAAACAGTGAGTCCTGATATATAATTATTCTGCGAAAACCCTTGAAACTGAGATCAATGATCTATTTTCAGCCTGTTTCAGTCAACATCAGAAACAAGGTAGGTCACCCTTTGTTAAATCAAAGTGGAAAATGATGGTTTATATAGGACACTGACCCCCGTCTGACTTTCTACAATATACAATATGAATTATCCCTGACATTGGATTTCCTACAATATGTACTATCCTTAATATTTGACTTGCTACAATATAAAATATTAATAAAATAGTAAAAATGATCACGTGTTTATAATATCACAGGTGATCACGTGTTTATAATATCACAGGTGTAACAGGTAATTTGTAGTTGTAACACTATCACAGTAGTATTTTAATGATGATTATGAATGAAAAGTTCAATATATACCATACAAGTAAAATGCATACTAAGACTTATAGATATGTACTCTACAACAGGATAGTTTGGGACTCAACATACATAATTCTGTCCGAAATTCAATGGATTAATCAAAACAAGCTTAAAGTTCTTAACATACTTAACCATGGTGACCTTGAGTATGGGTCAAGGTCACTTTGTCAGGCTTTATCCAAGGAACACATCAATCAGTATTATAATGATTCAAGGCGTTTTGCTTGATTTTAACAAATTTGACCCCAGTGACTTTGAATAGGACTCATTAGAGTCCTTTGTTTTCAAAACAAAAAACTTGTCAGACTTCCTCTGTGGAAATCCACCGACAAACATCATGATTCTAAGCCTTCAGGTTAATCAGAACAAGTTGTTTGAAGGTTTTAACAAAGTTGACTCCTGTGATATTATGTATGAGTCAAGGTTGTTTCTTTCATCAACTTTGTCAGGCTTCATTATGGAACCTTTCAGCCAAATATCCTAATTCTTGGCGTTTAGATTAATCAGAACAAGTCATTTCAAGGTGGGGTGGTCGGGTGGCGCAGTGGTAATGCACTCACCTTTCACCTAGCCGGGGTTCGATTCCCGGAATGGACGTGAAAAGGTAAGGGGTCACCTGCCCGACCACGTGGGTTTTTCCCCGGGTACTTCAGTTTCCTCCCAGAATAAGTATAAGTTAACATAACTTGTTTCGCAATTGTTGTAAAATAGATAAAGTTTTTATTACATTTCAAGGTTATAACAAACTGACCACTGTCACTTTAAATGTCCTTCTATTTAATAGGAGGAAGTTATTTGAATATCGGACAAAACCATTTTAGGCAAACTTTTTCAAGCTTCATCTCAAACAATCTTCCAGCTACATATGCAGATTTGGCCTCTTGGTTTTAAGAAGAAATTCATTACTGAGTAAAGACAAGCTAACCATGAAAGAGGTCAGATTTTGTGTTTGTTTGCTAGGTTTGAACAGCCAAGGTTGATTCAAGGCAGTGTTTCGTTGTGAAATAACTGGTGGCTGTGGAAGGCCATTTGTAGGCCAGCTAGAGAAATTAAGGTAAGTCTTGCCTAGAGACAAAACCATGGCATGTACATTCCATCCTTTTATCAGTTTCCTACAAAAAAAACCACCACAAGAAGTAAGCATTGTACCTCGAACCTCAACTCTTCATCAGAGGTTTTCATGACTATCCTTGCTACTAGTGGTCAAATTTTTGAGGCATGTAAATACAGACTTACGAACAATTGGAAGTATTCCTATTCAAGACAGAAAAAGTCACATATATAGAAATCATACATGTTTTATATAACGACTTTCATCTGACAAAATCAAGTCATTAGTACACACATGTACATGTATTACATGTTATCATCTCCATTGGATTTGTTATACAATCAACATATTTCTCTTCTTGTTAAACTACATATAAACAGGTATCTCTATTCCTGTGATTTTGTTTCAATACCTAAATTTAAAACGTATAAATTGTAAAAATCTTTGAAAAAAAAAATGTGTATAAATCATATCTTAGAAAGTAACTAAAAATAAATTAATCTATAAATTAATTTCATTAATTAAAAAAAAAAAGTTCTAAAAAGGAAAAGAAAATTTAACATAAAAAAGATGAAAAAGAACACATTGGTAGATTAAGAAAAATGTCATTTATGATTAATTAATACGTTTACTTTTAAATCCTGTTACAGATTGTTAAACAGGAGTTTTCTGAATGTTATTTTATTCGTGACAGTAATTGCATACAACCTTCTGGCAAATCCAATGAGACCATGGAGAAGATTTGTCAGATGGGCATCATGCAATCATACGGACTACAACCATATTCAGAAATACTTGTTGTTTCGTTTTTTGTTCGTTTTTTTTTTTTTTTTTTTTACATTTACAGCACCTAATCACATGGTTACTATCAAAGCTAAATATAGCAAATCTCATGAGACAAAATTTGAAAATATGGGAGATTTTGCTGCCCACTGGGAGGTATGGCATGTATGACAAGCTACAAATAACTATCACATACCCGTACATATTCGTATATATATATAAGGTTGTTGTATATTCTCATGGGTTGATATATCAGTACATATCAACAAGCATATGTAACAAAAAATAAATAAACAATATACATACCCTGTTTACGATCTTAAGTTTCTAAAAATGATAGTGTACAAATCTATATTAAGAACCATTTCATCTTTGTCATATTAGATTTCAAGACTCTTGATTAGCGATGCCATCAACTTAGGTCAGCTGTTCACATATCAGTATACAATTTATAATCAAAATTCAGGTCTCTGGTTATGTTACAGTGAGCGTAAAACCTCATCTTATACAAAGGAGGAAATCCAGTGATGAGAACAGCCAAAATTTTTACTGCCCGCATAATCATTTTGACGCTACGTACAACTGGAACGGTTGCAAGTACAGTCTTATAAATACACTGGCTGACTAGTCTTGTTTGATAGGATGACGATGGGGAACCGTAAATATGACCTAAGCTCATATCATTACAGAATATATAAATATAATGTAAGATTGAAATGTACATCATTTAACTGTAGCAATTACTTTGAAGATTTGATATTGTTTTTTTACCATATCATTACCCTGTTATCAGTGAAGGTCTGGTTCAGTTTCATACCATATCATACCACAAATATCTACATCTGATTTGATTTCATTATTAATATCAAGTGTACGTTGGAATTAATGGCCATGAATATCAAATGTATATCTTTTAGGCCATAAACTGCACATATAATGTAATACCCTATATTAATGCAATTCTATTCTCTTTCATTTTCAATTTTTCATTGAGTACATTAAATAGCCTTTATTGTATAATTACAGGTTAAAAAATACTTTCTTTGAGTATATGTATTTGGATGTAATGAAAGTTCATACATTTGAATTTCCAAAAATTTTATGAGATCTTTTCAGTAAGATTACTAATGCCATCTTATGGTCATTTCAACATTTGAAAACATTTAATGTGATAACTCACGCCAACATATAACCATCATCCTCACCTATCTTCACAAAATATGCTAATCAATCATGATTTTGAGTTGCTAAAAAGGAATTTGAAGTTTTTTCTTTTTGGGCTAAAAATTTATGAAAAATGTCCCCAATAATTTAAAATCTAATCTGACAAACTTAACGTTTATTTGAAGTCATACAAAACAGAAACATGAAAATATTCATAGCATATGATGGCAGAGTGAGCAGGGAACATATAGTTTGTTATTTGTGTTGAAACAGAAACTTAAATTTTTTATACAGTGGAATGCTTGTCATCAACATAATATATTTTACATGATTTATGTGAAGTATAAAATCTAAGATTTAAATTGTTGATACTCAATAAAATTAAGCCTAAGAGTTGAAATTGGATTTTTAGCAAACATATACTATCACGATAACAATGGCTGACGTTCATCAGACTCCTCGTAAGAAGGTTCTGACTGTACAGCTTGGGGCTCTGCCTTCCTGTCCAGTCTCCTATACGACGACAGTAGCATCACCTGGGATACAAACAACAAGAATCCTACATCATTATATCTCTCGCCAGTCTCAACATGTACATAAAAACTGAGCTCCATATAAAGCTAAATGCGAAACTTCAATAAAAGTATATTCCAGGTTTAGCTATAACAGCTAATTTACTTGGAGAGATATAAAGCTCAACACTAAGCTGAACAGAAATATGTGACATTAATTAACTGATGTCAAATTAACAGTAAAATGTAGCTGAAAATCAGAATCTGAAATATGTGTCTGAACGGTGATTAATATAGATATATTTCAAGAGGCTACATCAGGGTTCAAATACGTAAACTCTCCCTTCTGCTTTCATTGATCTACCTGCTGAAGTTAAATTCTGAATACAAAACTATAAGGAGATCCTATCTACAAACAAAAGTTCATGGTACCAAACTGGCAGTAGGCAATGGTAGTTATTCATCGTCAACATAGCCAATGCAAATCTAGGTAAGACGGAACATGTTTGTTTTCATATTCGTACTGTTGTACTGACAGCGCCATTAGACTGTGTGATCATGTCACGATATTCAACAATTTTTGAACTGTGGTGTGAAGCAGTAATTGGCTATTAAAACCAAAAGTGCAAATCTAGGCATGTCAAAACTGAAAACGTGTTTTGAAGTGAAAGGAGAGAAAAGATGCCGTTGCATTTAGGTAGTTTGTTATCTATAAAAGTTTATACATGTGCTACACTTCAAAATATCAGCTTATAGCAGAACAGCACATGCGGCATGGGTAACAAACTTAATCAATTTCATCAAGAATATAAAAATAGAGAAATGTTTTATCCTTATCTGGATCGACATCGGCCATCCTGGCCGTGGGACACTACAGTTATCTGCCACCAGTTTGGTACAATGATAGTTAATGTTATCAATGTGTCTCTTGTAACAGATAATACAGTAATTTCAGGAAGGCAAAGTTCTCAGGAAAGCAGAGTTGCAACCTTTACTTAAATGAGTCAACACTTAACATCATTTTTATTGCAGCGTTTCCAGTCTCTAGCTATCTAATATCTCGTCATACTAGCCCTTCAATATCAAGGGGCAGGGCATTAACTGTTTCATCAAAGAAAAAGATCGTAAAACTATTCTATTGTATACTTATCACATCTGTATATATATAGATGACATCCTGTGTTGCATTTGAACACAATTATGACTATATGTCTTTTAGATACAAAAACAGATGCTGAAATTTCTAAACACTGATCAAACATAACGAAATATGAAATGATTTCAACAATGTTCACAATTTCAGGCCAATATCAGATTGACATGATGAAATCACACAGTTAGCGACACTGTTAATGTAACTTGAGAGAAAGAAATATGTTACCATTGACATGACAAGGAGTCCCAGCATAACCCCTAACATAATGTAGGGCCAGGTAAGGGTAGATCCTGTCCACAAAGGGCCTAGGATGGTTCCAGACCCTACCACAATTCTCCGCAGCCCTTGGCTTAGACCTGTAACAATAATTGCAAGTTACCATAGCAACTAGGACAATGTTAAAGATGGTGAAATATATTTTATCTGTACATCAATAAATCTGTTCATCAAATACACAGGGAAGGAAGTGTGTGTATGTCATAGATTTTTTGGTGCTGTCACTGATGACAACACTGAAGCGATGCGGATCACAAAATTAACACTATGATAGACTCCAACAAAGTACTTCATAAATTTAGAAGTTCAGTGAGAACCATTTCCAGTATATACTGAATAGCAAATTTAAGTATTATGCAAATCACACTGAAAATGGTGGTTAGGTGGTTCAGTGGTAACACACTCCCCAGGTATTCAGTTATCTCCCTTTTATTCTATCATGCATCATTGTTTGATAAATTTGCATAGATTGTCGAATATAACCTTTGACCCTTTAACCTTGACAGGTGACTCTCTTAACATATGGGGTAGGTCTTGATGTTATCAATCATTGCGTATGATACTGTATAACACTATACTTCCCAATCCCTCAGCCCAACCCCTAAAATGGTGGAGACATGAAAATTGAAATATGGAAAATAAACAGATGAACTGTTTGAACCTTACCTTGGTGTTCCTTCTTGGTGACCTTTGAGTACAATGATATACTACAGACCACAAGAAAGGGAAGAGCAAACATATCTAGTACCATCCCTATAATAAACATTGGTAGATTTGCTGATGGTTCATCTGGAAAAAAAACAACCAAAGTTTAAAACGAGAGTAAATTCTACATACAGTTATGATACAATAAATAACACAAAACATCAGGGCCACTGATGATGGAATTTCCACACAAAAATACATCAGGGCCACTGATGATGGAATTTCCAAACAAAAATACATCAGGGCCACTGATGATGGAATTTCCAAACAAAAATACATCAGGGCCACTGATGATGGAATTTCCAAACAAAAATACATCAGGGCCACTGATGATGGAATTTCCAAACAAAAATACATCAGGGCCACTGATGATGGAATTTCCACACAAAAATACATCAGGGCCACTGATGATGGAATTTCCACACAAAAATACATCAGGGCCACTGATGATGAAATTTCCAAACAAAAATACATCAGGGCCACTGATGATCAAATTTCCATACAAAAAAACATCAGGGCTACTGATGATGGAATTTCAAAACAAAAATACATCAGGGCCACTGATGATGGAATTTCCAAACAAAAATACATCAAGGCCAATGATGATGGAATTTCCACACAAAAATACATCAGGGCCACTGATGATGGAATTTCCACACAAAAATACATCAGGGCCACTGATGATGGAATTTCCACACAAAAATACATCAGGGCCACTGATGATGGAATTTCCAAACAAAAATACATCAGGGCCACTGATGATGGAATTTCCACACAAAAATACATCAGGGCCACTGATGATGGAATTTCCAAACAAAAATACATCAGGGCCACTGATGATCAAATTTCCATACAAAAAAACATCAGGGCTACTGATGATGGAATTTCAAAACAAAAATACATCAGGGCCACTGATGATGGAATTTCCAAACAAAAATACATCAAGGCCAATGATGATGGAATTTCCACACAAAAATACATCAGGGCCACTGATGATCAAATTTCAAAACAAAAATACATCAGGGCCACTGATGATGGAATTTCCAAACAAAAATACATCAGGGCCACTGATGATCAAATTTCCATACAAAAAAACATCAGGGCCACTGATGATGGAATTTCCAAACAAAAATACATCAGGGCCACTGATAATGGAATTTCCAAACAAAAATACATCAGGGCCACTGATGATGGAATTTCAAAACAAAAATACATCAGGGCCACTGATGATGGAATTTCCAAACAAAAATACATCAAGGCCAATGATGATGGAATTTCCACACAAAAATACATCAGGACCACTGATGATGGAATTTCAAAACAAAAATACATCAGGGCCACTGATGATGGAATTTCCAAACAAAAATACATCAGGGCCACTGATGATCAAATTTCCATACAAAAAAACATCAGGGCTACTGATGATGGAATTTCCAAACAAAAATACATCAGGGCCACTGATGATGGAATTTCAAAACAAAAATACATCTGGGCCACTGATGATGGAATTTCCAAACAAAAATACATCAAGGCCAATGATGATGGAATTTCCACACAAAAATACATCAGGGCCACTGATGATCAAATTTCAAAACAAAAATACATCAGGGCCACTGATGATGGAATTTCTAAACAGAAATACATCAGGGCCACTGATGAAAGAATTTCCAAACAAAAATACATCAAGGCCAATGATGATGGAATTTCCACACAAAAATACATCAGGGCCACTGATGATCAAATTTCAAAACAAAAATACATCAGGGCCACTGATGATGGAATTTCCAAACAGAAATACATCAGGGCCACTGATGATGGAATTTCCAAACAAAAATACTTCAGGGCCACTGACGATCAAATTTCCACACAAAAATACATCAGGGCCACTAACGATGGAATTTCCAAACAAAAATACTTCAGGGCCACTGATGATGGAATTTCCAAACAAAAATACATCAGGGCCACTAATGATGGAATTTCCAAACAAAAATACTTCAGGGCACTGATGATGGAATTTCCAAACAAAAATACATCAGGGCCACTGATGATCAAATTTCCAAACAAAAATACAAAAGTTGTAGGAGTTTTAATTCGTCATCATACCAATTCAGACTGCCGTGAAGAGTAATTCTGACATAAGCAAGTAAAATTTTTGGGCCAAATTTTAGTTTTGAGTGATGGAATGACACAACTGATAAAACTGCTAGTCCCTATATGTATATGTGTTCTGTCTGTGTGTAGCAAATTGATTTGGTATCTATAGCAACAGATCAACATACTCTACAGTGCCAGGTATAATCACAGACACTGTAAAGGTCTGTTTTAAGAACAAAGAACATTGTGACCTTTTGACTTATAAGATATATATAGGATTTTAAATGGGTTTTATATTTATCAAACAGGTCTTACACAATTTTACTGCTGCCTATGTGAGCCAAAAAATAAAACTTTTAGCTTAGTTTCATAAAATCTAAAACAAAGACAAGGATATTTTTATCATGTAACTCAGAAAAATAACGTTTTAACAGACAACAAACAGAGCCAGTAATTTTTACACCATTTTCAATTCATGACATAACATCATTGTCCAAATTACGACATCACAGGTCATTTCTGACTTGCATGGCAAATATTTGATACTCCAGGGAATATTACAATAGTGACGTTTACACAAGCATTTCACTATTAGTTCATGGACAAATTCATTGGATAACAGGCCGAATATGTGATAAATTGTAATATTTTTTATCAACCGTGCTGAGAAAAATGTAACAGGCGAAAAGTTATAGATTTATGTATTTGTACAAAATAGATTTGATTGAGGCTCATTAGGTTTAGCTACAATACTTACCTGGGTCACTATTTGGAATAGCATAGAGGAGCCAAGCACAGGCCAGTACAAGTGTTGACAAGCCTATCAGTATCATAGTACGGTCCTGTAAATGTTTGCTTAGGTAGCGTACCAACATAAACACCATGATAATCTGTAATACAAAGAGATGTACAAGTCAAAAAAGGAAAAATTCATTTAACCAAGATTTTCAAGATTCTTGATGTTAATGATGATGATGATGATATGATGATGATGATGGCGATGATGATGATGATGATGATGATGATGATAATGATCGTGATGATGATGATGATGATGATGATGATGATGATGATGACGATGATGATGATGACGATGACAATGACGATAATGATGATGATGATGGCGATGATGATGATGACGATGATGATGATGACGATGGCGATGATAATGATGGCGATGGTGATGATGGCGACGATGATGATGACGATGATGACAACATATAAAATATTATTATTTTGTGTAACAAAACATATTTGAATATTTCTTTTTTTTTCTAATTAAGATGAAATATTCTGGGCAAAATAATTAAATTGAAATTTAATATTGAGTGAAAAGAGTTGAAAAATGCAGTATCTTCGAAGAAGGTTATGTACAGTGTGTACTGACAATAACGGCAATGTTGAAAGTTAAGAAAAAAGAGATTCTAAAGATGGCAATTACTGCAACTATCTTGAAATTCAGCTTCACTTAAAAAACAGAAATTGATTTGTAGCAAGAGCAGGTACTTATCGTTCATAATCAATTCAATAACAGTTGGCCAAAAGGCTCAGGTAAGCTAATAATACATTTATCAATAAGAATTAGTAACAGAAATGTGTTCCCTGTGTTATGTCTTAATTAAAGCCTTGTGTTACCTCCACAGCAGCACAGCAGTACATGATGCTATTTTCTAGCTCTCCCCAGTGTAGCAACTTCTGTGACAGAGGTGTTACCATTGTCTGAAAGGAATAGAATATGATACTGACTAAAACTTTATAACTTTGGCAGATCTGTCACTCAATATATACATTATACTATAATACCCTACATTTCAAGATTTGATTATCTGAAAAGTATGTGTCTGTCATTTTAAGATTTACGAAACACTATTTTTCTAAAATGTCAATGATATATAACTGTACAGTGTTGATGAGGCGTTTGATTGGGCCATATGTCAAGGAAGAATATTTTCACTTCATTTCTGCCTTCGAACTTTTAAGGTCCTACTAAAACTTGACAGCCACCAACCATACTTTCCCATGATATTTAACATAAGATTATTTGTTGCATGCATAATACAACAAAAGCTTTGACCTGATTATGTCTCAAGAAAATTGAAAATGTACATACTCTCACAATGCACTATGAAATTTCATGTTATTTGAAATAGGCATGGCACAGAAAAATTCTTAGGGCATCTTATACAGGTTTATCGTATACAGGTCAAATTTGCCATCATTTTAGAATATCTTAAGAAAGGTTTTGTTAAATCAAAATAATGTAATGTCAAGTCTAAAAAGACAAATTTATAGATCTAGCTAGACATAGCTGCTTATCTCAATGGAGGTCTCAGATTTTTTAGATAAAAGATAAAATGTTAGGGATCTTGAGTCTTCCTTCAAAACATGCAGTTATGGAAAGTATGCACTACATGTATGACCCATTTCTATTACCAAAATTTTGTAATAATTCACAGAATAAACAAAGTGAGAAGGGGCTAACATCTCTGCTCACATCTACCCCCAACCTTTATCTATTTCTTCTGATCTCAATCAATGGTTAAGACTGACCTCTGACCTTTAACCTTGATAGATGACCATCAGAATCCAAAGAGTTGTAAACATTGATGTGTTTATGCTATGGTGTGAATATTAATTAAATAATCCATGAGATATCCTGTATATAGGTTACCATGGATGCATGCATAGACATAGAAACACAAAACTTATACCAGGACTACATTTGCATGTATTGGAATTCAAAACAACTACCAGCATTTGCAGATGAGAACAATGTTTTTTCAAAGTATACATGTCGGGAGATTGATGTTACACAGATTTAAAATGTGAACAACTAGGACAAAAGTTTCTATATATCAATAGATATGATATGCTTACTTCAAATCCGACCTGGTTGAAGAAACTGTTGAATTGTACTGCCATCAAAACTACCACCTCTTCTCTGATGTATTCTAGACAAACAAAAAACAACATCTAAAACTATTTGTAGTCACATCAAAAGCAGTATATATTGATTTCAGCAGGAGGTAACTTTATGAATCAAAAAATGAAAAATTAATGGTAAAATATGTTGTTGTTGTTACAAAGAAATCACTGGATAAATTAAAAATCTTTCACTTCTGTAAATCATATGTTTTTGTGGGACTCAATTGTTGTGGTTTTTCAATAAATAAATAGATACTATTTCCTGGACATTTGATTTCGTGGATATAGCTCAACAGGACATTTGATTTCTTGGATATAGCTCAACAGGACATTTGATTTCGTGGATATAGCTCAATAGGACATTTGATTTTGAGGATATAGCTCAATAGGACATTTGATTTCTTGGATATAGCTCAATAGGACATTTGATTTCGTGGATATAGCTCAATAGGACATTTGATTTTGAGGATATAGCTCAATAGGACATTCGATTTCGTGGATATAGCTCAATAGGACATTTGATTTTGAGGATATAGCTCAATAGGACATTCGATTTTGAGGATATAGCTCAATAGGACATTTGATTTCGTGGATATAGCTCAATAGGACATTCGATTTTGAGGATAAATATTTATAACTTAACAGGACATTTGATTTTAATGATATATATATATAGCTTAATAGGACATTCAATTTCATGGATAGATATATAGCTAAAAAGGACCAAATTACCATTACAGCATAATATAAAAGCAATTTATTCATTGAATGCATTTTTAATAGGGAAGGGATCAATCTTTTGTTTGGCAAAAAATATCACTCTTTATTTTGAGTGTGATTGGATTTATAAATGACCGATGTGTTTTTTTAAAATATATCAGAAGTTTGCCAGTGAAATCAATAAAGATGAAAGTTACCTCTATATATAAACCTCCAAGACAGTTTGTGATTTGTTTGATTCTCTGATTTTTCTGTTGTGGAGCTAGAGGTACTTTCCCCAAGAACTGGTGTCAGTCTGGAGTTATCTTCCCTTGACAGATCTGGGCGATTCTCAGGCAAGGACTTGCCATGAATTTCCATGTATCTCTGATCACTCTCATTCACAGTGTGTAGGAAATCTCTCTCTGTTGAATCCATGACATCTATTGAACTATAATTCTGGATATTTTCAGATTTCTTTTCACCGGTTTCCTTGGCAATAGATTCAGCCTGGATTTTGTGTAGGTCTGTGTAAAGAATAAGCAACAGTAAGGACTGAAGGCCCCAAAGTCCAGCCATAAAAACCTGCAAGTACAAAACAATGATAAAACAACATCAATTCAAGGCATATTTTAATAACATCACTTAACTTGGTAGATTTAACTGGAAGAGAAACCCCAGCATGCATTGTCATAAACATATCATTGTGTATCATGAATAACATACAAGAATTTTTCTCACAAAGTTACATGATCATGGAAATGTAAGGTGGCTGCAATATATTTATATAAGAACTTGTGATGTAAGTACATGTAGTAAATATTTATTGCAACAGAGGTCATTTTTTATCTCAATGCCTCCGCTAGGAATCGAACCCGGGACCCCTGGCTTACTAGTCTGACACTCAACCAATCGAGCTAAAGAGAAGTTCTCTCTAACCAAGTTGTATATTGCGGCTAGTATTTTACCAGGGTTACATACTGCCCCTCCAGAAAATAACTTGTCCTCGAGTTTCCAGGGGTTACAGCGATGCTGGTGGGGCATGGCTAAGTACTATTCCTGGGTCCCTACATGGGCGCCAATGTAACAGAGGTCATTTTTTCATCTCAATGCCTCCGCTAGGAATCGAACCCGGGACCCCTGGCTTACTAGTCTGACGATCAACCAATCGAGGTAAAGAGATGTTCTCTCTAGCCGAGTGGTATATTGCGGCTAGTATTTTACCAGGGTTACATTATGTTAAGGAGTTGATGAAATATCTTGTACAAAATTTATACTTTTTATTTTAAGAGGTCAAGGGTGACCATTGACCTTTAAGCATGATTGATGATCATTAAAGTCTAATCAGGTGAAAAGCTTTATGGTGTTGGGTGAAAAGTTTTATGGTGTTGGGTGAAAAACTTTGTGGTGTTGGGTGAAAAACTTTGTGGTGTTGGGTGAAAAACTTTGTGGTGTTGGGTGAAAAGCTTTGTGGTGTTGGGTGAAAAACTTTACGGTGTTGGGTGAAAAACTTTACGGTGTTGGGTGAAAAGCTTTATGGTGTTGGGTGAAAAGCTTTATGGTGTTGGGTGAAAAGCTTTATGGTGTTGTACTGAAACAGAATTTTACTTATCTAAATTTTCAGATGTATTAACTAGTATACAAGTACATATAATATTTTCAGATGTAAGAAAAATTGGCACAAGCTGGTTGTACTACATCAATGCAATCTTTTACCATATAGTGTGCATGTTAGAGTATAAAGAAGCCAATTAGTCGTCATCTCTCCAAATATCCTGCACCTACTTACCCCTGGTATGCTGAATTTATCTACCAAAAATGGCCCTATATAGAACTCAGCTAGTCGTAGGAACACATTTAGACCTGGCCCTGTAATTTTAAAGTACAATGTACAATAATCGATTTTCACGTCCAGCATTTCCTGAAAACTAATCTGCACCAATTGCGAGATAACGAAATGTTTAATAGTGAAGGCACAAAATGTAAGATTTGGAATTTATTGGGAAAAAACATTTGTTTAAAAACTGAGATCTGTCACCTGCTGAAAATATCAAATACTTTCAAATATTACTTTACTCTAAGTTCACAGCAGATTCTGAACAAGATTTAATCAATAAATGAAATTACTAAATGTTTTTTTCTCTACTACTGATAAGGTAGTGTGTACAATACAGAATCAAAATATTCCCACTCATGCAGCTTATATCATGACAAAACAGTTTTGCACTAAATATAATTACTATGAAGCAATATAAATTCTTCTGCCTAAATATATTATTTTATATTTTTTTTTACCGCGTGGGTTTTCCCCGGGTAAAATCCCCTCGCGCGCTTACATCCGGGCCAACAAGAGTGATTAGTATAAGTTTAAACAACTTGTTTCGCAATTGTTGTAAAACAAATAAAGTTTATATTTATATAAATATATTATTTTGTATTTTTTTTTAGTAAAATCAAACTCACTTTCTTGATTTTGTTTCCAGTCTGGGTATTGTTGGGTAAATTAGTACATATATAAGCAGAATAATTCTTTTTTTTTTCTTTCCAATTAATTTGCTATCAGTTTTACCATAAAATTTTCATAATGGTGTCTCATATAGGAAATTTCCATACCCAGTAGTAATCCAAACTGTCTGATGGAAATCATGAGAGAGATGATACCAGTCCTCTCCTGTTCTGTGGTGACTCGAGCTATCTCTCCTAGGATTACAGACTCACCTCCACCACCAAAGCCTGCAACCAAATCACCACAGTATTTCACAAATCATTGTCAAACAATTTACAAATATTTCACACAAAATTCTCTTTTTGACAAAAAAAACAAAAAAACAAAATGTTTATTCACATCTTCTAATTAATAAGAATAAATTTTATCAAACAATGAATTTCTCATTTAATAACTAATGAAACAATTTATTGCCTTTAAAATTATAAAGTGAAAAAGTACCTTAATTTTTTGGGGCTCCTTTTGTTTAGATTGGTCTTTCCAGAAATTAATTGCCAAATTTTTGTATGTTTACAATGGATTCAATGACAGCATAGAATTTCACCAGGACAAATTTAGTTTTCTTGATATCCTGTCATCTGCATACATGTGCAGAAATTGTTATAAAGAAGAACAATTTATACGTACCCACCACCAGTCGACTAGCCAACAAGAACCACTGGCTTAGTCCCATGAAATACATTATGTTGCCCCCAATCTGGACAATGGCACAGAGTATTATAATAACTTTAGGTTGCCTTCCTCGGTCCGCCCACCTACAAAGCCAAAAATTACTATAGGTATAATCATGTTACACGACACAAAAGTCAAACATTTCAACTTTCCTGACTTAAGTTGGGAAAATGATTATACTCATTATGTCTGTATCGTAAACATGACCTACTTTGCTGTTTATTTTAGTTAGAGGCATAATTACTATAGTCTGCTTCTACAACAATTAGGTTAGTTTTAACACTATGTAATATATGATTAACAGTATTGTCTAACTTCTCATTTCAGTCAAGGGAGTTAACTAATACATTACTATATTCTTAATGAACGTGTACAGTTATATCTATAGATTACACTACATGCATTTAAAAAAGAAATCATTTGTTCCTCTTATATATGTTTCTACCACCACACATCCTTGCCCCAGATGAAAATCGCAAGATCACAGGGACAGAGGATGTGCCAACCAAGGCTCTGGATGTACACAATAATTATATTTGTCAACGAAAAATAAATTGAAATTTAATATTACATTTTTCATATTTTTGCATCCATTATGGTGCACTAACCTTCCAAGGAGTGGGCTGGATATCATGGCAGCCAGACTGTAGGCAGACAGAAGGATTCCCAGCATGTATTCGGGGGACTTAAACCGATCCTGGATATACAGCCACATGGTCGGCAGGACCACAGCTGTAAAAATAAAAATTGTTCAATCAGTTACACCTCAAGCCCCTAGTGGTAACACCTCAAGCCCCTAGTGGTAACACCTCAAGCCCCTAGTGGTAACACCTCAGGCCCCTCATGGTTACACCACAAGCCCCTAGTGGTTACACCTCAATCCCCTAGTGGTAACACCTCAGGCCCCTCATGGTTACACCACAAGCCCCTAGTGGTTACACCTCAATCCCCTAGTGGTAACACCTCAAGCCCCAAGTGGTAACACCTCAATCCCCAAGTGGTAACACCTCAATCCCCTTGTGGTAACACCTCAAGCCCCTAGTGGTAACACCTCAATCCCCTAGTGGTAACACCTCAAGCCCCTAGTTGTAACACCTCAAGCCCCTAGTGGTAACACCTCAGGCCCCTTGTGGTTACACTTCAAGCCCCTAGTGGTTACACACTGGATTATCCACACCCTAAATATACAAATTACATACAGGTACATTGACTGTTTATTTAACTTGTTTTTCTTTAAAATTTTATGTTCACATGCAATACCTTTTTATTACCACTGGTAAGAAGGGTAGATATTGCGAGCGGACAGAAACATACCATTAACAGCAATTTTAGTCAGTGTCAAAAATTAATGGAGGGGAAAGGGAGTATTTCATTACACAGAAATTAAATAAAATAACTGAAGAATCAGATTGGCCCCCTAAGACATGGAACACATTTATCACTAGCATTTTACAGGTGCCATAATTTTTTTTCTAATTTCAATCTGAAATAAAATGGTCTTTGACTTCATCTCTATATAAAACTGTAAAAAATTGTTCACAAAAGAAGTTGTGTTCAATCTCTGCCAGAGTCATCGATTTTTAAGGAATTTTTAAGGCGAATCCAAGCAGAACACAATTTCTAAATTTTGTTGAGTTTCATTCCTAAATGATAGAGTGGGTTCTTAAAATATCAATGAGTGCCACAATAAAAGGACTGGTCCTGGACTTAAATATATCAGAAACCTAAAAATCAGTGCAGTGCTCCAGCTGTCTAGAGGTTATAAGGACCCTACATGTTATCAAGATCACGTGGTCCAGAGGTCCTAAAGGTCCACTGAGAGGCTGCATGTACACAGGTATGAAACACATTGCATCAGCTGTCGCTTATGGTATTAGAATCATTCTGAAGTAACATGCATGGCTTTGGAGCAGTAGACCAAATTCAACATCACTAATTACCGATAAACATTCGATCACGTGCACGTTGACGTTTAGGGTAACTTCTGATATCGAGAAATGATGATGAACTTACTCAACCGAATGATGACGGTGTATGTCATAATGATCCACAGGCACTCGAGGCCAGGATATTATTTTTTAAATATTGATTTTTGTTTTAGCACTCATGACTGACGTTATTTAAACGAAATATCAGCAGAATTCAAGTTTATGTGCCGGTTGACAAATCCGAGGTCCACGGTCATTAAAAGTGTATTTTTAATGACCGTGGAACTCGGATTATCCTGGCCTCGAGTGCCTGTGATAATGATCGACTTAAATTTTGTATAAATTACAGTAGACCAACAGTCTTATACTTACCGTACTCAATACCTCCCATCAAAAAGAACGTTCCCAAAGTTACATATGAAAGTCGTTTTCTTGATTTCAGCGAGACCATAATTAACGTTAAAGAAGCAGACGATATCGTTAGAACACAACAGGTGCACCTGTCACACCTGTAGCAAATCCTCGACGATAAAACAGAGTTATTCCCCCTTAATAGTGGAGATACTAATATCGGGATTATAACGGACAGAGAAAACGGAACATTGAACTCGAACGATAAAAAAGTATTTGGAGGGAAAATATTTCTGCCTGAAACATGACGGAGCAATTTTAAAATGATAGATATTGGTGACAGCTGATACATGTTTGTATAGCCACTGGTCTTTGGGAGCCATTTACTATTTATAAACCTACATTTTGTACTGCTAATATTGATAGTCATTTTCAAAATCTTTTTTGATTACTTCCAACCGCAGTGGTTGCAATATTTGAAAAAAAATCTAAATAAATTAGCTATGACAAATCGTGACAATTCAGCGTTTTCAGACAAAAAAAATCATTATTTATTTTTCTTTAAACCAACGGATACGAACATTAAAACAATAATAATAAAAAAAAAAAACATTTCTGCGCGCGCATGCCTTATTTGGATAAGAGAGTGTGTAGTAAAGCGATCCCGGGTGTATGACCATGTTAGAAATGAGAGATATGTTTTTATTGTAATAAGTAAGTCATGATTTGCAATTTATTTACATAGAGTATGTAAAAAAATATATTCGATGTTATTGTATCTATTTTTAAGGTAAATGATAATTCATATATTCACACATAAATATTCATAGTATTTGAAATACATATATAGTAACTCAACTAAGTTTTCATTTTATGCAATATTTTATGTTAAGAGAAGTTGGAGCAAAAGACACACAAGTGAATAGCGTCTTTAAATACAAAGTTAGAATTAGATACAGTAGATTCAAGCAATAGTTTAAACTACAATATACACCTGTTTCGTCCTTCTAGGACTCGACAGTGTTGCTATGGACCTTAAAGTTGAAGGAGGGAACTCTTAAGTGACTGGGAAAAAGTCAAAACCTAAAAAGGGATCCGTACCAGCTCTATAAATTAATAATTTTTGTAATTTCCATATATCTGATGATTTTATAACGAAGTCATAGTGTCACTATTCAAATGATATAGATAATACTGTTTTTATTTTTGTTGGCAAAAAAATTAAACTTCAAGACGAGATTCATAACCTAAGACATCATATGAAGTAAAAGCAAAATTAAGATTTTGCATGATTTTAACAAGACACACGCCTAAATATTCACATGTATCAATGTTTTACGTTACTATCATCTTGTTATTATTGTTGTTGTTGTTATTGTTGTTATAATGTCAATGAGCAATACTTGTATACATACAGATTAACATAAAATATTGAGACAGGGGAAGTAACTCCTTGTACTTTAAAAGAAGTTTAGTTATATTGATGAAAACATATATTTATATATATATGTGTGTGTGTGCGTGTGTGTGTGACTCTGTATGGTATTATGACCTATTTTTGATATCGTCAGTATTGTTTTAAATCAACCATTTTCATATGTTTGCTTCTTTCTATAATATATTTATTGCTGTTGTACATCAATGTTTCGTTTCTGACTGCTCCAAAGTCTTCCAAGATACGTGCCAAAGAAGAGTTATCTCCCCTCGGTTACACTATACAGTTTTTATCAATGATTTCTTTGCTGCAAATTATTCACTTGCTCTTCATTACGTAAATGTAACTTGTTCAAATCTAAGTGACGTTACCACATATTTATGTGTTTGTTGACCTGGTCCTGACAATCTCGTGGATACATGTTACTCTGTAAACTGTAACCGACGATTACTAATGAAAGAAAAAAAGATTCTTCAGAAATGACTCGGAGTTGGTTTATCAGGAATGAGTCTGACGGGACAAACACATTGGAATTGTTCTCAATAAACTAAAATCCGGCTCTCTAGACATCACAAACTACGTTGTAGATTTTTCGGTACCGGAATCAATCCAATCACGAAGTTATGCGAGTCTACTGAGTTGACCAGAGATACCATAAGCTGTAAACTGTGGAGAATTATTGACGAAGTATACAAACGGTAATTACTAGCATTTCATATTTAATTTTTCTCTGTGACTTTATTTAGCTTCTAGGTTAACAGGGCACCTTTTCCGCCAACAGAGAGTACCATATTTTTTATTTAGTTGGGTGAAATCTTGTAGGAGACTGACAATGACCCCATGAATAACTTTCAATGGAACACTATTACTTGTGTAAATAGGAATTTTGATAATTATTACACAATACACCTTTATCATTAACATACAATGAGTGAAATTATTCTGATTTAGCTATTTTACGGCCGTTTTGTTTCCAATAGTGTTTGTAGCAGGTTATATCACAGATGTTCACAATACCTTGATCTTCAAACACAAACTGAATGTCTTCATCGTGAACGATAGTTAACTTAGCAACAATCCTAAATTCAAGAATGTTGTGTATATATAGGCTTTAAAAGCCTGCGCCCAGAATTATTATTATTATTAATAATACCTTGATCTTCAAACACAAACTGAATGTCACATATTGCTTTTTTCATTTCAATGGTTTCGTTACTGGATTAAAATTTATATTGTTTAAAATCACAGCTGTTACGCATTAATGATGTATTCGTACGTGTAATTTTCTACGAATATAAACAACAAACGTTGTGATTTGAAAGGAAACCTTTTTCATATTTGTATTTTTTAATATAATTAAAAACATAATATAGGATTTGTGAAAATGACATGGAACCCGTGTATGGTAATAGGAGCAGAGCATGAACGGTAAAGCACGTTTTCAAAAGTCTTCAGTGTTAGCTTGGATTTTGGTCTGTTGTTCTGCAACCGTTCTAGATCCGATATCGTAAACAAAACACACATGGGACCGAACGGATCGATTCGGCGTTGGATTTTTTTAAGAAACAGGTCATCAAACCTCGCGATTGTTGTATAAAGGGATTCCTGTTAATCTCTTTAGTTATTTTTTAAACGTTACAAAAATAAGTAACAAAATAACAATGATATTTTTGAAAAACCCAGCCGAAGTTCACGCCTTTTGTAGCTTTTAAAAAACTAGCGCAATAAATATCATATGCAACAATCCGTTGCATAATTTGCATCAGTGCTTTGATAACAGAACCCTCTCCGTTTTCGCTGTTGCTCCAATCAACCTTTATTTCGAGATAAACGACTGTTGGTTCCTTCTGTGGCCTTATTGGAAAGTTCATGCCCGGAATTCGTTGTACGTGATAATTGAAATTTTTTTAAGGTAAAAACCAAGCTAGCGTTGATATGTCCAACTCCTTTGATCTTGAGAAATTTTGTGCATAGGATTTTATTTCAAATGTGATGAAACGTGACCCTATGACATTTAACCTTAGAATGAAAACTAAGCTTATGTCGAATCCGATCTTCTGATAGAATACTGTGAATATGGAGTAAATCTCCAGAGAGTTCATAATATTTCTTGTACACCAGCTGTTTATTTTTTTATTTAAATGTGAAACAGGACATTGACCTTGGATCTTCTGTAATCGCCAAATATAAAAAAATCGTGAAATCAACTGAATGATAGGGACAGTGCATTACTCAGAATTTTGACAAATACTTGAACAGATTTTAATTTTTTTCGTTCACCTCCTAAGTAGTTGCAAATACATCATAAGTTGAAAGTAGCATGCCAGAGAATACAATGTCTTAGATAACGGTGACAACTCTCCAAATCACCTTCCAGTCTTTTGTTCTATATATAGATTCCCACCGTTCAGGTAATACAGTGTAAAGAGTTTGGGAAGTATAACTGGCACAAAGAATCGAAAAATAATCAAATGCATAACTACCAGTCTGTTGTAGAGTCAGAGCTCAATTTAATTGCTTTTCCAGAAAACATCAAATCAAACAACGAAACATTGACTTATATTATAAAAGTAAAAAAAATGAGGCTGTTAACTTCGTTAAAAGATTGTATTCAGAAATGTTTATTTATAAGATTATCGATCTTGTAGCTAGAGAAGACCACACAATGACAAGTAAATCACTCAATAAAGTAGACTGTCGTCTCGGTATCACACGTCATCGAGATAAAAAGTCAAAGGTAAGCTGCAATTTTGTTTAAAGGAAGACGGAAAGAAGGAGAACACAGGTAACAGGAAATTAATTTTAAAATATACTGTTCCTATCGGTAAGTTTTCAGTATGTTTGTGATTTGACAGATTGTTTAGGTCACATTCGTCCAGAGTATCAGTCACCGATCATATGTGAAGATCGACTACAAATGTATCCGGACTTGCTACAGCAATATCCTAAACGAACTAGTCAGTACCGGATTGTCTTATTCCGGTCAGAGCAGTACATTTAACCTGCTGGTCATCCTTCGATTCCGTCGAAGTTGAACATAAAAAGTGGTCGACAGATTGTGTGTATTTACATGTACAAATGGTGATACCGCTGTAGGTTTGTCTGTCAGTTAATTATTTTGAAGGTTTATGTCATGTAAATATGGAATGTCCAACTTTCTATAATCTAAGTATAAGTGTGACCAGGAAAGGATTAATACGGAAGCCCATTGGCGCCAATTAAAATCTTAAGAAAAGAATCAAATACCGCGAATATAGCAAATACACGCAATATTATTGACTAGATGTCGTAAATGGTTCCGTAGTTTCGCGTGATTACTACTCGACATTCAAGTTCTGCAGCAACACCTTTATGACTGGGAGGCCACATTTCTCGAGAAGGAGTAAACTTAATATTATTCTATATGAAGATAAATTTGAACATGTCATGATCTGTATGAACGACACCATTGGTTTAATCTGCCATGCAACTTAATACAAGAAGAAAGAAAGACTATTGAAAAACATTACTTCTTGGTTCTTGGTCGAGTTAACCAAGGGATGCTGATAATCTGTTTATAAATGTGTTTTATTAATATTGTCTATTCTTACAGAAGATGGCCATTGTGGAAAGAAGTCTATATTCTCATTAATAGCTGCCCCTGTAGTCTTGGATGTAATAAGCGC